CTCAAGGGCCCCTTACTTACAGCGGGCTGTCTTGGCCTCCGGGAGCCCCCCCGAAGGAGGAGCAGATCCGCTGCACTTAAGGGCCCTTTAAGTGCAGCGGGCTGTCTTGGCCTCCAGGGGCCCCCCCGAAGGAGGAGCAGATCCGCTGCACTTAAGGGCCCCTTAAGTGCAGCGAGCTGTCTTGGCCTCCGGGAGCCCCCCCCCGAAGGAGGAGCAGACCCGCTGCTGCACTTAAGGGCCCCTTAAGTGCAGCGGGCTGTCTTGGCCTCCGGGAGCCCCCCCCGAAGGAGGAGCAGACCCGCTGCACTTAAGGGCACCTTAAGGCAGCGGGCGTCTTTGGCCTCCGGTGAGCCCCCCCCCGAAGGACGGAGCCGACCCCTGCATTAAGGCCCCTTAAGTGCAGGCGGGCGTCTTAGGCCTCGGTGAGCCCCCCCGACGGAGGAGCAGATCCCGCTGCCTGCACTTAGGAACACCCTGAGTGCAGCGGGCTGTTCTGTCTAGGCCTCCGGGAACCTCCGGAAGGAGGAGCAGATCCGCTGCACTTAAAGGCCCCTTAAGTGCAGCGGGCTGTCTTGGCCTCCGGGAGCCCCCCCGAAGGAGGAGCAGATCCGCTGCACTTAAGGGCCCTTTAAGTGCAGCGGGCTGTCTTGGCCTCCGGGAGCCCCCCCGAAGGAGGAGCAGATCCGCTGAACTTAAGGGCCCCTGAAGTACAGCGGGCTGTCTTGGCCTCCGGGAGCCCCCCCCGAAGGAGGAGCAGACCCGCTGCACTTAAGGGCCCCTTAAGTGCAGCGGGCTGTCTTGGCCTCCGGGAGCCCCCCCGACGGAGGAGCAGACCCGCTGCACTTAAGGGCCCCTTAAGTGCAGCGGGCTGTCTTGGCCTCCGGGAGCCCCCCCGAAGGAGGAGCAGATCCGCTGCACTTAAGGGCACCTTAAGTGCAGCGGGCTGCCTTGGCCTCCGGGAGCCCCCCCGAAGGAGGAGCAGATCCGCTGCACTTAAGGGCCCCTGAAGTGCAGCGGGCTGTCTTGGCCTCCGGGAGCCCCCCCGACGGAGGAGCAGAGCTGCTGCACTGAAGGGCCCCTGAAGTACAGCGGGCTGTCTTGGCCCTCCGGGAGCCCCCCCGAGGAGGAGCAGAAATCCGCTGCACTTAAGGCCCCCTGAAGTGCAGCAAGCTGTCTTGGCCTCGGGAGCCCCCCCGACGGAGGAGCAGAGATGCTGCACTGAAGGTCCCCTGAAAGATACAGCGGGCTGTTTGGCCTCCGGGAGCCCCCCCCGAAGGAGGAGCAGATCCGCTGCACTTAAGGGCCCCTTAAGTGCAGCGGGCTGTCTTGGCCTCCGGGAGCCCCCCCCCCCCCAAAGGAGGAGCAGACCCGCTGCTGCACTTAAGGGCCCCTTAAGTGCAGCGGGCTGTCTTGGCCTCCGGGAGCCCCCCCGAAAGAGGAGCAGATCCGCTGCACTCAAGGGCCCCTTAAGTGCAGCGGGCTGTCTTGGCCTCCGGGAGCCCCCCCGAAGGAGGAGCAGATCCGCTGCACTTAAGAGCCCCTGAAGCACAGCGGGCTGCCTTGGCCTCCGGGAGCCCCCCCGAAGGAGGAGCAGATCCGCTGCACTTAAGGGCCCCTGAAGTGCAGCGGGCTGTTCTGGGCTCCTGTCGAAGACCCCGCCGGGAACTTTACTGCACCTTCCCCCTCAAAACCCATGTGGCCACTGATCCATTTCGTTTTGGCCCCTGTTGGGTCTGAACTCCTCGGAGAAGCTTAAGAGGGGCCCCAGGAAGCGTCCAAGAGGGCCCCACAGACCCCCAAGATAAGCCCAAGAGGGCTGTTCCTCCTCCTCCTCCGGCTCCTCCTGCTCCTCCCACCTCCTCCTCGTCCTCCTCCTCCCCGCCGCTCTCTCTTGCACGCGCGGGGCCGGCGGGCGGCGCGCGGGCGGCGCGCGGGGCACCGTCTCGCCGTCGCCGCCGCCGCCTCCTGTTCCTCCGCTGCCTCCTCCTCCTCGCGGCCCTCCTCCTCCTCTCGGTCGAGGCGTAACGGCCGCCACCCTGCCGACGACCGATCGAAGCACCCCCCTCCGCCTCCACCTCCTGCTCCTCCGGCTCCTCCACCTCCTCCTCCTCCTCCCCTCCTCCTCCTCCTCCTCTCCCCCCTCCTCCTCCTGCGAACAAGCACGTGCGTTTTCGGCCTCTTGAATCCGTTTTCGGCCTCTGGGGCCCTCAAGCATCAAACCGGGGCAAAAAATGCGTTCCGGCGGTGCCAGGATCGTCCCGAGCGGCCGCCGGAGGCCCGACTGATGACCCGAAAGCCGACGGAGACAAGGCTCGCCCTTTTGGCCCTCGCCTCCGCCCCCCGTCGCTGCGGCTGGACGCAGCTCGGGAAACTGAGGTGAATTGACCCCAGGGGCCGATTTTGAACGGCCTTGGGCCAAGCAGTACGGTCGCAGTGACCTCCGCAGGAGGAACGGGAGGACCAGGAGGACGAAGTGCAGGAGGTGGCGACGGGGCGGGGGGCAGGCAGGAGCATGAGAGGAAAGTGGGCGGGATAGTAACTGGAGGGCGACGGGCAGGATGTTTTGGCCTCTCAAACACAGCGGACTGTTTTGGGCGCCTGGAGGCCCTCACAACTCGGGAGCCGCGGCTCCAGACATCCTCAGAACTCGGGCGGCTGACTGACTGACTGACTGACTGACTGACTGACTGACTGACTCAGTGACTGAATGACTGACTCACTGGGCCGGGTCCGGCAGGCGGGACTTCAAAATATGATGCATCGTCGAGTTGGCATGCAAGTATCCTGACAAGCAGAACGGGCCGGACCGCGCGGGCGCACCTTAACGGGCAGGTCAGGCCGGGCGGGCGGGCCGGCCCTAATGGGTGGGTGAGGTCGGGTCGGGTCGGATCGGGCGGGTTATAAAATTTAATACATCGTCGACCTGTCACGCGAGTACCCGAACGAGCGGATCGGGTCGGGCCAAGAGGGCGGACCCTAACAATCGAGACGAGTCGGGACGGGCTGACCCTAACATGCGGGTCGTTTCGACCCTGCAGGCCTCCCCCCAGGCTGGGGGGAGGCCTCCGGCAAACCTCCCCTGGTCCTCCTGGAGACCTCCCCTGCTCAGGAAAAACCTCCCGGGGGTCTCCGGGAGATTTCCCCTGGTCCTGTGGGAGGTCTGGAGGGAGGCCTCCCCCCAGCCTGGGGGGAGGCCTCCCGGAGGCCTCCCCTGGTCCTCCACCAGGTCTGGGGGGAGGCCTCTCACAAGCCTCCAGGAGGACCAGGGGAGGCCTCCCGGAGGCCTCCCCCCAGGCTGGGGGGAGACCTCCCAGAGGTCTCCCCCAGACCTCCTGGAGGCCTCCCTGGGGAGGTCTCCCAGGTCGCGAGGACACCTCCCTGGGGAGGCCCCCCCCGAGGCTGGGGGGAGGCCTCCAGGAGGCCTCCCCTGGTCCTCCACCAGGCCTGGGGGGCGGCCTCCCCCCAGGCTGGGGGGAGGCCTCCCGGAGGCCTCCCCCAGACCTCTGGGAGGCCTGCCTCTGGAGGCCTCCCCCAGGCCTGGGGGGGGCCTGGGGGAGGCCCCCCCCCAGCCTGGGGGGAGGCCTCCCCCCAGGCCTGGTGGAGGACCACGGGAGGTCTGGTACCAGACCTCCCCCAAGCTGGGGAGGGGGCTCCGGAAGGCCTCCCCCCAGGCTGGGGGGAGGTCTGGGAGAGGTCTCTAGGACACCTCCTATGCGGGGACCCTTATGCCCCGCCAACAGAGGCCGCAGGCCCGACGGGCGGCAAGACTATTACCCGATTGGGAGGGGGATCGGTCTGTCGGTGCTGCCCCGCTGTCCCTCTGCCTGGGGGGGGGGAACGATGGGGGGTCACCAGCTCAGGGGATCAAAAATCGAGCTTGGATCGGCGATACGTTGCCAGTAGCAGATCGGCGATGGGCCTCCGAGGACGAGGGTCCGCACGCTCCCGGGCGGGGTGGGCCATCGGGCCCATGTCGGCGCGATCAGCGGGCAGTGGCCGATCGATGCAGCCTCTCCTGAGCCTGTCCCCCGCTGACGCTGCCCCCTGGCTTTCGGGTCGCTCTCGGCGAGGCGCAGCTGCTGGAAGGAGCTTCGAAGCTCGCAAACCGCCAAGAACCAACGAGAAAGTCCGAAAACCGAGAGCGACCACGACGGTCCAGCTCGTCGTCGTCGTCGGACCCCGAGGCAGCCCGGGCGCAGCCCCCCACCCCACCCGCACGCTGCGGCCGCGGCCTCGTCTGCTGCGAGAGCTCAACCCCGAAGATGCCGGAGAACATCAGCGCCTCGCAGAGCGCCCTCCTCGCCTCCTTCTCCTCCTCCTCCTCCCTCCTCCTCCCTCATCCTCCTCCTCCTCCTCATCCTCCTCCTCCTCATCCTCCTCCTCCTCGTCCGCCTCCTCCTCCTCCTCCTCCTCCTCCTCCTCCTCCTTCCTCCTCTTCTTCTTATCCGTATTATTATCAGTATTAGTATGATATTCCTCTTCTCTTCCTCCTCCTCCTCCTCCTCCTCCTCCTCCTCCTCCTCCTCCTCCGCCTCCGCCTCCGCCTCCGCCTCCGCCTCCGCCTCCGCCTCCGCCTCGTCATCATCTTTATCCTCCTCCCTCAGATTCCCCTCTATTCCGTCTCCTCCCCTTTGATCCTCCCCTCTATTCCCAAGATGACTCTAGAAGACCTCAACGAGGCTCCCAACGCAGTTTGGGAATGTCCTGGTTTCGGTTATTGATGCTGTAGGCGCGATGCTGGATTGGCTCCCCGTGTTGGGTAGGTCTTGGTTCCCAACAGATGCTACACGCTTCTACGCTTCCCTGATCCAAGCAACCCGGCTGGCGATCGTTTGTGAATGGGTTGGTGGGGATACGCAAAGCGTCCAGAATTGCCAACAGCTACGGTTCAGCCCCCTCACTCCGACGAGGATGGAGCGCGGATCCTTTTTATTGGATGGGATTCTCGCCGTAGCGCCGTGCACATGCGTGCTTACAAGCGTTCAACAAGTACAAATATTGAGGGTGGATAAATTTCAACATGAGGCAATCGTCTCCGCCCTAAACGCGTGCGGCATATACAGGAATGGAGGACTGCGCCGTTCCAAACGTGCGCCTCGATTTGGGCTTCCAGCTATTCGCCGACCCCAAATCTGCATAGAGCAGCTTCCAAACACGAGGCTGTGATAAACAATACCGCACAGTACTAAAGAACGCCTGAGGGGTCTGCAAAATCCTTGAACGCTTCGCCAACACAGGTCCCGACTGGGTGCACGCGCCCCTACGCTCAGCTGGACCTAAAGTGGTGGCACTTGCACAGGTGGCACGCAAGGAGCAGCGAGGTCTCGGTTGTGCCCGAATGTCCACCCGCTCCCGCGCGGACCTCCCTGGATCCGATGAAAGTGGCGATACTTGCGCATCTGGTGTACACAAACACACACACACACACACACACACACACACACACACACACACACACACACACATACGCACACACACACACACACACACACACACACACACACACACACACACACGGGGAGCCGCGAGGTCTCGGCTGGACCTGCGGACAACTCGCGTCCGCTGGACCTCACAGGAACACGCAGAAGCAACGACAGTGGCGGCAACTGCGCCGCTGGTAACCCACCAGGGAGCCGCAAGGCCTCCTCTGGATGTGCGTACAGCTCCACCCCGCTGGAAGCCAACCAGGGAGCTGCGAGATCTCGTCGGCATCTGCGATGCAGATCCACTCCGCCCGACCTCTCAGGATCAAACGCAAGGGGCGACAGCCGCGCAGCTGGCAGCCCCCCCCCAGGGAGCAGCGATGCCTCGTCTGGATCGGCGTCTGACCCCATCCCGCTGGACCTACCGGGGGACGCGAGCGTGGTGACAGATGCGCAGCTGGCACCCCACTCCCGCCCCCGCACCCCCCCACCCTCCACCACAACCACCACCACCACCACCACCACACACGCGGAGCCGCGAGGTCTCGCCCAGATATGAGTACCACTTGATTCCGCTGGGCCTCCCAGGAGTAGGCAACAACAAATGCGGCAAATCACGCAGTTGGCAGCCCTCCAGGGGGGCCGCGAGGTCTCCTCTGGATCTGCGTACACCTCCACTCCGCTCGACCTCCCACGAGCGCACGAGAGTGGCGGCAGCTGCGCGGCCGGCAGCCCACCAGGGAGCAGCGAGGTCTCCTCTGGATCTGCGCACACCTCCACTCAGCTAGACCTCCCAGGAGTACGCGAGAGTGGCGGCAACTGCGCAGCTGGCAGCCCACCAGGGAGCCGCGAGGTCCCCTCCGCTGGACCTCCTAGGAGCACGCGAAGGAGGCGACAGCTTCGCAGACGGCAGCTCCCCAGGGAGCAACGGGGTCTCGTCTGCGCACACCTCCACTCCGCTGGACCTCCAAGGAGCGTACGATGGCGGCGACCATTGCACTGTTGGTGTGGCTCCCCAGGCAGCCGCGAGATCCCGGCTGGATCTGCATTCATCTTCGCTACGCTGGACCACCCAGGAGCACACTATGGTGGCGACGGTTGCGCAGCTGACAATCCCCAAGGTAGCCACTGGATGTGCGGAAAGAACAAGGAGGTCGAGGACAAGAGGAGGGGGGAGAAAGGAAGGAGCTTGGAGCAAGCAGTCTTCTATTCGGAACGAGGATCGAACCACAACTGCTTCTTGTGATGTGAGGGGGAGGGTGGGTGGGGGGGGGGGGGGCCCTCGAACTCGCTCGACCTTGCTAACTTTCACTCTTACTGCTATTCCCTCTCATCCCCTCCTCCTCTCACTCTCACCCTTCCTCCCTCGTCCCCCCTTCCCCCTCCCAGTTACCACCTGCTCCTCCTCCCTCAGTCATCCCTCCCCCCTCTTCCCTCCTCTCTCCTCCGCTCCTCCTCCTCCTCCTCCTCCCTCCTCCTCCTCCTCCTCCTCCTCCTCCTCCTCCTCCTCCTCTCCTCCTTCCTCCTCCCTCCTCCTCCTCCTCCTCCTCCTCCTCCTCCTCCTCCTCCTCTCCTCCTCCTCCTCTCTCTCCCTCCTCCTCCTCCCCTCCTCCTCCTCCTCCTCCTCCTCCTCCTCCTCCTCCTCCTCCTCTCCTCCCTCCTCCTCCTCCTCCTCCTCCTCCTCCGCCTCCTCCTCCTCCTCCTCCTCCGCCTCCTCCTCCTCCTCCTCCTCCTGCTGCTCCCTTACCTTCCTTCCTTTCCTTCCTTCCTTCCTTCCTTCCTTCTTCAGCTCCTCCCTCCCTCCCCCCTCAGAGAGCCGGCGGCGCGATTTGAGCTCGAGCCATGCCAGGCTTTGCCGAGGAGGCCGCCCTGGCCCGAGGCGCTCCCGGCTCTCCTCTTCGCACCGCCTCGGCGCCCCAGGGGGCCCCTGGGCCTTGCCGCGGGTGCTCTGAAGGCCATGGGGGGGCCTCCCTGGAAATCCTGGGAGCGAGGAGGAGGGAGGAGGAGGAGGAGGAGGAGGAGGAGGAGGAGAAGGAGGAGGACGAGGAGGAGAAGGAGGAGGACGAGGAGGAGGAGGAGGAGCTCCTCCCTCCCTCCTCCCTCCTCCCTCCTGGGCATTGTGGGCCAGGGACACCCCTGGCAACGCGCGAAAGTGATCCCGCGAGGCAGGGACCGCTTCCCTGGGACCGCCTGTTCATCCCGGGCCGCGTCCCGTCGGTCCAGGGGCCCTGGAGGTCAAGAGCTACCGAAGGCCAAGAGCACCCGAAGGGCCAACTCGTGCTACACTCGTCTTACACTCGTCTTACACCGTTGCAACAGTTGAGAGGATTGAGGCAAGGTCCTGTTCAAAATGTGGCTCTCGCGTTAGCACCGCCTGGACATTCGTCTTAAAGGTGCGCACAAGCTTCAAGGATGGAGGGCGGTTCATTTCAAAATGTTGTGCCGCGCACATTCGCCAAAGCAAAAAAACAACAGCTTCCAGGATTCGTATGGTTGACGTCCCAGGAACGGCGTTCTGGTGCGAGTTAGGGCTATCAAGACGCAGCGGTCACGTCGACTCGTGATGCTGAAGTCCCAGGAATGCTGCTCTGGAAAGATGTAGGATTATCAGGACGCAACTGTCACGTTGATGCGCGGCGTTGAATGATGTTTTGTAACGATTGAGGATTTTCAGACGGTTGTCTCTAAATGGGGCACTTACCGAAATGAAACTAAACTCTTACAGGGCCCTATGAAGATGGAACTTGGAGGGGGCGCATTGCAAAATCATTGGTGCGTCTTGCGCTTACACTGGTCCCCATGCCCAAAACCATCATCTAGAGGCCTCCTAGATGGAGTCGGAGGATCGCGCCGCATCGTCGATGCATCGTCGATGCATCGCCGATGCATCGCCGACGTCGGCGGTGCATCGGCGACGTCCGCGTGAAGAAAATCGGGCTCCGCATCGAGCCGCATCGGCGATGCAACGACGATGCGGCGCGATCCTCCGACCCCATCTACTCCGACACCATCTACAGAGCCTAGAATCAGGTCGGGCGTGTCCTCCTACAGGCGGATGTTGGAAAAAATAATCCGCCGACCTTGTCGGCGTGTGGAAAGGGTTGTTCGTCGTGGTTGTTGTCCTCGTAGGTGCTCGTCGTTTCTTTTCTGGGTCCGTCGTCGCTCCCCCCCTCCCTCTTTCCCTGGGCCCTCGTCCTCAAAAGCACCAGCCAAAGCGAAATGAAGCAACCCAGCCAAAGCGAAAGGAACAGCGTTGTCATTGAGTCGAAGGGAAGCCCCTTCCCTTTGATCCCTTCCCCGCCGGGGGGGAGGGAGGGTCCCGGGGGGGGCCCGTTCGCGGCTTTTACAGAGGGGCCTTCTGTAGATGCGCTGGAGGAGGGGGGGGGGTCGCCACGACGGCCCAAGCACCTGCCCTTCAATCCCTCTCCCACGGGGAGGGAGGTCCCAGGGGCGCGGCTCAGGGAGAGAATCCCAGCGGGGACGCCGCCCAGATACGTTTCCCCCTCGAGCGCCCCCGAAACAATGAAATGCTGCTTCCAAAAGACCCCAAAATGCCACAACGCCTCCTACTCTTTTTCCTCCTCCTCCTCCTCCTTCTCCTCCTCCTCCTCCTCCTCCTCCTCCCCTCCTCCTCCTCCTCCTCCTCCTCCTCCTCCTCTTCCTCCTCCCCTTGCTCCCTCTCCTTCTGCTGCTCCTCCTCCTCCTCCTCCTCCTCCTCCTCTTCCTCCTCCCCTTGCTCCCTCTCCTTCTGCTCCTCCTCCTCCTCCTCCAACTCCTCCTCCTCCTCCTCCTCTCTCCTCCTCCTCCTCCTCCTCCTCCTCCTCCTCCTCCTCCTCCTCATCATCATCATCATCATCATCATCATCATCATCATCATCATCATCATCATCATCATCATCATCATCATCATCATCATCATCATCATCATCATCATCATCATCATCACATCATCATCATCATCATCATCATCATCATCATCATCATCATCATCATCATCTCATTGTCATCATCATCATCATCATCATCATCAGCATCATCATCATCAGCAGCATCAGCATCATCATCATCATCATCATCATCATCCTCATCTCATCATCATCTCATCATCATCATCATCATCATCATCATCATCATCATCATCATCATCATCATCATCATCATCATCATCATCATCATCATCATCATCATCATCATCATCATCATCATCATCATCCTTCCCCCCCCTCCTCCCTCATCCGCCTCCTCCACACTTCCTCTTCCTCCCAAACTCATCATCCTCCTCCGCCTCCTATCCCCACCGCTCGTTTTTACCTAACAGCGAAGACTGATAGGTTTCTAGTAGGGTCAAAAGAAAGCATCATGACGCCCCAGGGGGGTCTGGGCGCGATCCGGGGGAGGATGCCGGGGACTTCTTGTTTAGCCAACAGTTACACACTTCGTGGTCTCCGAGGTCCAAGAACTCCATTCATGGGCCACATTCTGAATGCCCGGAGCCAACTGTAGGCCACTTCGTGCTCTTCGAGTTCCCGGAACTCCATTCCCGGGCCACATTTTGAATGCCCGGAGCCAACTGTAGGCCACTTCGTGCTCTTCGAGTTCCCAGAACTCCATTCCCGGGCCACATTTTGTACGCCCGGAGCCCAGCTGTAGGCCACTTCGTGGTCTTCGAGTTCCCAGAACTCCACTCCTGGGCATGATTTTGAATGCCCGGAGCCAACTGTAGGCCACTTCGTGTTCTTCGAGTTCCCAGAACTCCATTCCCGGGGCCACATTTTGAATGCTGAGGCAGGCTGAGGCTGAGGCTGATGCAGGCTGAGGCTGAGGCAGGCTGAGGCTGAGGCCGAGGCTGAAGGCAGACTGAGGCTGAGGCTGAGCAGGCTGAGGCTGAGGCTGAGGCAGGCTGAGGCTGAGGCTGAGGCAGGCTGATGCTGAGGCAGGCTGAGGCTGAGGCTGAGGCTGATGCAGGCTGAGGCTGAGGCAGGCTGAGGCTGAGGCCGAGGCTGAAGGCAGACTGAGGCTGAGGCTGAAGCAGGCTGAGGCTGAGGCTGAGGCAGGCTGAGGCTGAGGCTGAGGCAGGCTGAGGCTGAGGCAGGCTGAGGCTGAGGCTGAGGCTGATGCAGGCTGAGGCTGCAGGCTGAGGCTGAGGCCGAGGCTGAAGGCAGACTGAGGCTGAGGCTGAAGCAGGCTGAGGCTGAGGCTGAGGCAGGCTGAGGCTGAGGCTGAGGCAGGCTGATGCTGAGGCAGGCTGAGGCTGAGGCTGAGGCTGATGCAGGCTGAGGCTGAGGCAGGCTGAGGCTGAGGCCGAGGCTGAAGGCAGACTGAGGCTGAGGCTGAAGCAGGCTGAGGCTGAGGCTGAGGCAGGCTGAGGCTGAGGCTGAGGCAGGCTGATGCTGAGGCAGGCTGAGGCTGAGGCTGAGGCTGATGCAGGCTGAGGCTGAGGCTGAGGCTGAGGCCGAGGCTGAAGGCAGACTGAGGCTGAGGCTGAAGCAGGCTGAGGCTGAGGCTGAGGCAGGCTGAGGCTGAGGCTGAGGCAGGCTGATGCTGAGGCAGGCTGAGGCTGAGGCTGAGGCTGAGGCAGGCTCAGGCTGAGGCAGGTTGAGGCTGAGGCCGAGGCTGCAGGCAGGCTGAGGCTGAGGCTGAAGCAGGCTGAGGCTGAGGCTGAGGCTGAGGCTGAGGCAGGCTGAGGCTGAGGCTGAGGCAGGCTGATGCTGAGGCAGGCTGAGGCTGAGGCTGAGGCTGATGCAGGCTGAGGCTGCAGGCTGAGCTGAGGCCGAGGCTGAAGGCAGACTGAGGCTGAGGCTGAAGCAGGCTGAGGCTGAGGCTGAGGCAGGCTGAGGCTGAGGCTGAGGCAGGCTGATGCTGAGGCAGGCTGAGGCTGAGGCTGAGGCTGATGCAGGTGGCCGAGGCTGGCAGGCAGGCAGGCTGAGGCTGAGGCTGAGGCAGGCTGAGGCTGAGGAGGCGAGGCTGATGCTGAGGGCTGAGCTGAGGCGAGGCTGAGGCTGAGCAGGCCTGAGGCTGAGGCTGAGGCTGAGGCAGGCTGAGGCTGAGGCTGAGGCAGGCTGATGCTGAGGCAGGCTGAGGCTGAGGCTGAGGCTGATGCAGGCTGAGGCTGAGGCAGGCTGAGGCTGAGGCCGACGGCAGAGAGGCTGAGGCTGAAGCAGGCTGAGGCTGAGGCAGAGCAGACTGAGGCTGAGGCTGAGGCAGGCTGATGCTGAGGCAGGCTGAGGCTGAGGCTGAGGCTGATGCAGGCTGAGGCTGAGGCAGGCTGAGGCTGAGGCCGAGGCTGAAGGCAGACTGAGGCTGAGGCTGAAGCAGGCTGAGGCTGAGGCTGAGGCAGGCTGAGGCTGAGGCAGGCTGAGGCTGAGGCTGAGGCAGGCTGAGGCTGAGGCTGTGACTGCGACTGCCGTTGCCACTGCGACTGCCATCGCGAATGCGACTACGACTGCGAGAACAGCAGAATTCTACAACAGGATTCTCAACTGAATCTGAAGTGGAATGCTTCCAGATATGCTCCTACACATCGCTGTTAGGTTGCTCTGCCAGGATAATCATCTTCGTCGTCTTCAGGGTCGGCATACTCAATCGATCATCGATCGATCCCCGACCCTCCGTCGACCGATCCCCGACCATGCGCCTTGCGAAGCATCTCCTGGGGCAAGCGCGGCCCGTCGGGGCCCTCCTGTCGAGGGGGGGAGGGGGGGGCGCTCTCCGGGCGCGCGAGCGCGCGCGCCCGCGCGACGGCGGTCCCTCTTCTTCGAGGGGGGGGAGGAGAGGAGAAGGAGGAGGGGGAGGAGGAGAAGGAAGCAGAAGAGGAGGAGGGAAGAAGAAGAGGAGGGGGAGGAGGAGAAGGAGGAGGAGGAGAAGGACGAGAAGAAGGATCGAGCCCTCGCTCCCGCGCCGTGGCCAACAAAGGAGGAGAAGGAGAGGAGCGGGAGCAGGGCAGGCATCAGCAGCTGCACTGCACGCCGATCGCAGTCCGACCCGAGCGCCCCGGCGCGCGGCGGGCGCGGGCCCGCATAGCTCGGAGGCCGCCTGCGAGGGCGCCTCTTCCTCCTCCTCCTCCTCATCCTCATCCCCCTCCTCGTCTTGTTGTCGGATTATGCAATGTATTCGCCTTACAACTAGTGGTAACATGGTTCGTGCTAGTAGTACGATGTCTTACTAGTTTCATTATTATGATTATTGGTAGTAGTACTATGCTTATGACAATTAGCTTCAGTCTTAATAGTAGTACTAGTAGTCGCCATACTATTGTTATAAGTGTTCGCCTGCTTAGTGATCTTAGTAGTATCATTCGGCGTACGAGTGTTACTGGTATGATTAGAAGTATTAGTAGTCGCATTCGTCTTTTAGTACGTGCCTGAGTATTATGTATTCTTAATACTAGTATTGTTCGTCCTGCTGGTGTTATTACTATTATGGGTAATAACATTAGTATTAGTTTCCGTCTGCTTAGTCGAAAGGTCATTCGTCTTATTGTTGTCCTATCTTCTCATTATTGTTCGTTGTACTATTCGTCCTCCTCCTCCTCCCAGGATGCCCGGGGGAGGGGCAAGACGAGGCAAGGACGAGGACAAATTCGGGCGAGGATAGGTCGAGAACCTCTGAGCCCTGGCGGCTCTGGAGGATGCATCTGGCGCCGCGGCCTGCGCCCGCTGTGAAAAGCTGCAGCGCCAGGAGCCTTAGTGGACAGAGGCCTCCCAGATGGGCTCCGCGTAGGTGGGGCCGGAGCATCACGCCAGATATCGCCGATGCAGCGGCGACGTCGGCGCATCGCCGCATCGGCGATGCATCGACGGTGCGGCGCGATTCTCCGACCCCATCTGCTCCGACCGAATCTGGGAGGCCTAGAGGGGACCTACTGGCCCGCCCCGCCCGACGGGGCGCATCCTTAGAGAAAGGAGAAGGCCGTGAACACAAACTTTGGGCGCTCCGCTGGACCCCCCTCCCCAGCGCGCGGAGCGCGCCAGGGGCGGCGCCGGAGGCGCCGGGGGGGGGGGGGGCCCAGCACGGACCCGAGAAATCCGCGCGGAGCGCCAAAAAGTTCTGGTAATGTTGAAGGCCGGACTGGCCCAGGTCAATCCAGACCCAGGTCAGTCCGGCCTTGCAGAATCCTGCAAGATCCCGCAGGATCCTGCAAGATGCTGCACCCACACCCTGGTCAACGCGACCCTGGCTCTGCAGGACCCTGCACGATCTGGCGCCCTGGCTGACCCCCGTTTGCATTGACCCCCGTCTCTTCAGCCCCGAGCGTCCTCGCAGTACAGCCGGAAGGCCCGGCTCAAGTCTTCGCGGATGGCCTTCGGCAGTGGCGGCGCCGCCGCCTCCTGCGCGCCCGAGGGCCCCGGCGCCGACCACAGGCCGAGGGCGTCCAGGGCCCGCACGCTGCCCAGCGCGCGGATGGGAGCCCGCGCCTCGCAGAGAGGACGCCAGCGATACCCTGGGCTCCTCGATCCTCCTCCTCCTCCTCCTCCTCCTCCCCTCCTCCTCCTCCTCCTCCTCCTCCTCCTCCTCCTCCTCCTCCTCCTCTCCTCCTCCTCCGCCTCTCCTCCTCCTCCTCCTCCTCCTCCTCCTCCTCCTCCTCCTCCTCCTCCTCCTCTCCTCCTCCTCCTCCTCCTCCGCCTCCTCCTCCTCCTCCGCCTCCTCCTCCTCCTCCTCCTCCCTCCGTCTCCTCCTCCTCCTCCTCCCCTCCTCCTCCTCCTCCTCCTCCTCCTCCTCCTCCTCCTCCTCCTCCTTCTCCTCCTCAAGCCTCGATGCTCGATGCACGATCCTCCATCCTCGAGCCTCGCCGCTCGATCCTCCATCCTCCATGCGTCGAGCCTCGATCCTCGATCCTCGACGCAGAAGGACATAGTAGTACTGCGTGTTAATGTTCGAGGCGCACGTCCGACACGAACATATAATCAGTACACGAATTCGTGGTACATCGCTTCCCGATCAGCATGCTTCCCGAGCAGCATGGCCGGAAAGCGCTCGCCACAGAGCTTATACTGCAAGATGTCTGAGCGTGCGCTTCGCCCTTGCGTGACCGACGCACACCGAAGTGTATGTTCGGATGGTGCCGAGAGGACGCCAGCGATACCCTGAGCTCCTAGATCCTCAAACCTCGATCTTCGATGCTCGATGCTCGATGCTCGATACTCGATCCTCGAGCCTCGATGCTCGAGCCTCGATCCTGGCCAGGAGCCTAGGATCGGTGCATGCGCCCTCCTGGTCTGGGCAGGAGAGCATCTGCATCTGCCCGATCCTGGGCCTAGGGTCAGCCCGGCTCCAGGATCAGTTCAGTACAAGTGCGCACTCTGGATGGGGCAATCATTGGATCCGCTGGGGGGGGTTAGGCACGTGCTGTCGGAACGGGTGGAGGGGGGTTCGAGGAGGAGGAGGAGAAGGAGGGGGGAGGTAGAGGAGGAGGAGCAGGAGGACGAGGAGGAGGAGGAGGAGGAGGAGGAGGAGGAGGAGGGGGGGGGATGGGCAAGCTCCGCCGGCAGGTTTGTCGCCCACCCCTCGATGACTATCCCACCCAGCGTAGTCCCAGACGTGCGATGTCCTGGTCTCTGCAGTTTGCGGCATGGTCCCCGAAGCCCCGACCAGCTCCCTAGGGGCCAGCCTCTGGCCCCCAGGCTGTTTTCTCTGGGCCGCCCTGGTGCCTCGCGAGGGCCCCCAGGAAGCCGAAAAGATCACCCAAGCCTCCCGTCGTGACGTTCGTCCCTGATCCGACATTGCAAGGAAAACTACTCTGCTCCTCCTCCTCCTCCTCCTCCTCCTCCTCCTCCTCCTCCTCCTCCTCCTTCTCCTCCTCCTCCTCCTCCTCCTCCTCCTCGTCCTTTCCCTCCTCATTCTCCTCCTCCCACTCCTCCAACCCCTCCTCCACCCGTTCCAACAGCACATGTCCAACCCCCAGCGGATCCAAGAGGGGGGGCGATTATTGCCCCATCCAGAGTAATCACAACATCGCACGCACAAAAAAAACACGACCAGAGCCCAGACCCTGTCTTCCTGCATCATTTTTCGAGCTGGATCGAGCTGTGCAAGCCCCCGGGGCCCGAAAAACTGGGCAGAGGAACGCCCGTGATGAAGAAACTGCAGCGCCAGGATCTCAGGGCTGCCCAGGACGGCTTCTCGATTTGTTCGAGACACGGCCCCCAACCTCTCGACCCTTCCCTGGAACCGCGAGGCCTAGTTGAAGGACACCGGGAGGCCAAACACGCTTAAAAAAGCCCGTCCCGCTGTTTTCCGAGACGCCAGGATTCTAGCAGGAGATCGACTACAAAATTGATGTCCCCCCAATTGTAGGTTTTCGTCGAAGAAACAAATAACTAATATTCGTATACCTACTGACATTATACATTTTTTTCTCGTATAGAGTCGACGAACAAAGAAGCACTTCTGGGGCACATCAACTCTAGAATCACTCTATACACCCACGCTTCTGGCCCTGCACTGAAATTTGCACAAGGAAGCGGATCCTGGGCTATACGGGATCCTGGTGTACACATTTTTTGGCGCTTCCCCGTGAAACGGAAAAAACAGCATGCGCCGCACCACCCCGACGCCGTCCCCGACCCCCAGAACTGGCAACCCCTGGGATCGAAAAACAGCCCGCCACTGGCAACGTATCTGTTCCAATCTACGAAGCTGGTGCCCCCCGACCTCGGGCGGCAGGTGCGGGGGGAACGCGGCGTGCAGCTGCGGCGGCGAGGCGTCCGCGCCGCCGCCGAGCTTCGCCTTCGAGGCGCCGCGCGAGGGCAACGCCGCCTCGCCCGCGGGGCGATCCGCCGGCGGCGGCGAGAAGCGCAGGTGCCGCTCCTCTCGGGGGCTGGGCTCGGGGGCGGCCCCGTTCGCTGGAGGCCTCCTGGAGGGGGGGTCCGAGCAGACGGGGTCGGAGCGTTGCGCAGCATCGCCGATGCGTCACCGGTGCAGCGGCGATGCATCGGCGACGCATCGGCAGCCTCGGCGGTGCATCGGCGCCGCCGGCGCGGCGAAGATCGGCCGCCGCATCGAGCCGCATCGGCGAGGCATCGGAGACGCGGCGCGATCCGCCGACCCCATCTGCTCGGGCCCCACCTGGGAGGCCTAGACTTGCCCACGTGCGCTCGGGCAGAGGGAGGGTCGCCCCCTCCCCCATCAGGCAAGGAAGGAGTCTTCGACCCTCCTACTTCGCGCGGCGACGACGGCGGTTTCCCGATGTCCACCTCGTCCTTCCCTCCCCCCCTGAGGAGGAGGAGGAGGAGGAGGAGGAGGACGAGGAGGAGGATTCCCTATATGATGTACCTCTCGGCGCACGATCTCGAGGAGAGTGCGTGGGGGAGGTCGGAGAGCCACAGGCTCGGCCACACGGGCAGGCTCCTCGGCCTCCATCAGCTGCTGCCGCATGGCGGCCTTGAGGATCGCGGCGGCCATGAGGGGCCGTTGCCGCGACATCTTGCACCTGGGATAGAAAACGTCATACGTCAAGAGCTTCGGGCGCCGACCCCTGACCGGCCCCTAGCAAGCCATCCCCTGGGGGACAGGAAAAGGGGGCACAGGGGGGGGTCGGGGGGGAGGAAGATGGGGGTCCCGGGTCAGATTGTCCCCCCCCCCAGGGGTCCCGGTGGCCACCCCTCCCTTCCCCGGGGCCACAACACTTTGGACGGGGAAAGAGGGGTGTCCTTGGGGGCGTTTCCGGGGAAAGGCCTCGCCTGTGGTGGGGGAAGGTGGTCCTGGGTAAGAAAACCGCGGTCCTCAAGGCCGCATGGCAGCCTTGAGGATCGCGGCGGCCATGAGGGGCCGCTGTCGCGACATCTTGCACCTATGATAAAAAAACGTCGTGTCAAGGGACCAGGGAGACACAAATAAATGTACAGTCGCCCCGTATCATAAGGATGCGCGATAAGGATGCAAGGGCCTCGGACGCCTTTTTCGATGCTTTTCGTGCGGGGTGCGGCCAACGAAAGTGGCCAAGGATGGGCCGAGGAGGTAAGGTGCAAGGATACCCCTTGGAAAGTCACTCATCCTTACTGTGCGGGTCGACTGCACAAATAAATCTACACGAATTCCGTGATTCACAAGATTTGACTATATTTCCTGGGTGCTCCTCTTCCGCTCCAGGCAGCGTTCATGCGTTTGTTCCCCAAGCAATGCTTGCACTCAGGCGTTCTTACGGGGCTGACGGGAACTGGGCCGGGTGTAGGTTCGGCCGGCTTGTTGTCGCCTTCGCCGCCACCGTCGCTGCCTCGTCGCCGCCCGTCGCCTGGGCCTGCGTGTCGGTTCGGCCGGCTTGTTGTCGCCATCGCCGCCACCGTCGCTGCCGCGTCGCTGCCCGTCGGCTGGCCCTGGGTGTTGGTTCGGCCGGCTTGTTGTCGACGTCGCCGCCGTCGCCGCCTTAGATTGTCTCCTCTATCCTCCCCAGGACTATCCGTCCACTGGGGATGTGCAATTTCACTCGACTCTGCCCCATCGCTCATCTTTGGACGCCCGAATTGGGTACCGAAAGAATGGGTACCATGCCCAACAGCAAATGTTGTCCCAAACCAACAGCGGCCGCTGTTGGGCAGGCGGCCTCCTGTCTCGAATGGACACAGGCCGCGGCGGCGCGGACAGCGAATCCTGTTCAAAATGAACAGGAATTGTTGTTGGGCATTGTACCCATTCTTTCAGTACCCATTTCGGGCGTCCAGATCATCTTCCTTACACCATACCATCCCAGGCAGGCCGGTATCCCCCCTCCACCCCTTGCAGGAAATCCGCCGACCCTTCGGCGCCCGTGACACTCCGTCGTCGGCTTTTTGTCGTCGTCGCCAGCCCCAAGGGAAACGGAAGAACGAAGAGAGAAAAGAAGCATCGTGGTTAAGTCGATTTAGGGTTTAGGGTTTAGGGTTTAGGGTTTAGGGTTTAGGGTTTAGGGTTAAATCGATTCCCTCCCCTTGTTCTCTCCCTGCTTGGGGGGGAGGGCATGGGGGGGGGGCTGAGGGGGGGAGGAGCATGGGAGTCCCGGGTCACACTACCGACCCCCGTCCAAGGGTCCTGGCGACCACCCCTCCCCTCCCCGGTCCCCCCCGTGGACAAAGAAAATGAGGGGCTCCCCATGGGGCCACGAAGCGCGCGAGGGGTGTGCCGCAGTGAGCGGGCTTCTGTGGAGCTCCCTATGGGGCCACGAAGCGTGTGAGGGTATGCCGAGATGGGCAGGGGGAGCGTGCGACCGTCGCCACTGGGGCCTTGGTCGGAGCTCCCAGCTGGGCCACGAAACGTGAAGGTTCTGCCGAAATGTGCAGGGCCCCAGGGGAGGTCCCGCCTGTGGTGGGGGAGCATGGTCCTGGGTCGGACCCGGGGGTCCTGGCGGGTCCTCGGGAAGGGGGGGGCGGGGGGCCAGCGGGGGGCCCGGACGCGCGGTCCGGGTCGGCGGCGCCGGCATGGAGCCCTGGTCACTACTATGCACTATGCACGCACGCTGGTTGATCACAAAACCGTCCGTGTGCAAAGATACTTGGCAAAAAACGTGACAATGACCACACGCGCGCGCCGTCGCGCGCACACGCCACGCCTATGCAAGACCAGCTTGCGTCTTCCAGTGCCTTCAAAACGAACCCCCCAAAACGTATGGAAACGAGTGGGTTCTGCAACCTGCTTTCCCCGAAAAGTATGCGCGCGTTCTTGTGAATTCGTAGGAAAACCACAGTTGTCTAAATCCCACCAGCCCTATGGGCGCAGGTGGTCTAGGCGCTTCCTTTCCAACCTCCTTCCTTTCACCTCCCCCCCCCTGGGTCTGGACGGTCTCCCCCGCGATGTGTCAGAGCGTCCTTTCTGGCCCAGGATAGCTCCAAGAGGGCTTTAGATAGCCCACAAAAAACCGAAGGAATAACAATGTGTTTGGCCTTCTCGCTTTTTCGCCTCCGATGGGCTCTTGAGGCCTCAAGATGGCCCAAAGCGGCCCCAAGAGCGCTCCAAGAGCAGGTCAAGAGGGCTCCAAGACAGCATTTGTGAGCCTCCGAGGGGGCGGCGGGAATGAAGACCCCCCCTCTTTTTGAACAATGGGGCCCAAGACGGCCCCAAGAGGCATCCCAGACCCCCCCCCCAAGAGCCCCAAGAAGGCTCCAAGACCCCTCAAGAGAGCCCCCAGAGGGCCCCAAGAGGACCCCAAGATGGCGCCCAAATGGCATCACGAGTCTTCGAAGAACCCCTCACCACGACATGTTCCCAAAGCCCGACTTCTCGTCCTCCTTGTCATCGTCCGTCACTCCCTTGCTTTCCTGCCGCTTCCCTGCTCCTTTTCTCCTCGCGCCGCGTTCCTCCTGCTCCTCCTCCTCCTCATCCTCCTCCTGCTCCTCTTCCTGCTAGTCCTCATTCTACTCCTCCTCCTCCTCCTCCTCCTCCTCGTCCTCCTCCTCCTCCTCCTCCTCCTCCTCCTCCATCCTCCATCATCATCATCATCATCATCATCATCATCATCATCATCATCATCATCATCATCATCATCATCATCATCATCATCATCATCATCATCACATCATCATCATCATCATCATCATCATCATCATCATCATCATCATCATCATCATCATCGCACATCCCGAGGCACCAGAGGCAATCCACGAGTCAACACTAGATATAACATTGCAACAGCAAGTCTACCTCCCAGAGGAGGGGACAACAAGTCAGAGACAAGTTGGGATTACACTCATCCTCCTCCTCCTCCTCCTCCTCTCCTCCTCCTCCTCCTCCTCCTCCTCCCCGTCTCTTTACGTGTTTTCTCCTCCTCCTCCTCATCCTTCTCCTCCTCCCCCTCCGCCTCATCATCATCAGCATCAGCATCATCAGCATCATCATCATCATCATCATCATCATCATCATCATCATCATCATCATCATCATCAGCATCAGCATTATCAGCATCATCATCAGCATCTCATCATCAGCATCAGCATCAGCATCAGCATCAGCATCATCAGCATCATCATCATCATCATCATCATCATCATCATCATCATCATCATCATCATCATCATCATCATCATCATCATCATCATCATCATCATCATCATCATCATCATCATCATCATCATCATCATCATCATCATCATCATCATCATCATCATCATCATCATCATCATCATCATCATCATCATCATCATCATCATCATCATCCACTTCCTCCTCCCCCTCCTCCTCCGCCTCCTGCTTCTCCTCCTCCTCCTTTTACCCTCAAGATGGTCCCAGCACCACCAGCACCAGCAGCACCAGCAGTAGCACCAACATCAACACCAGCAGCAGCGGTACCAGAAGCACAAACTACAACGACAACACCATCGATACCATCAGCTACAGCACCACCGACACCCTTCGCTGCAAGAGATCTCCCAACTCACTGGCGTTGTCAGTCAACGCCGCCGTGGTAAAACGCCACAGACGTTTACCACAGGGAACCTCACGGCGCATCTTGCACGAATTTCCATCTTAAAACTCATCGGAGAAGCGACAGCGATTATTTCATCCTCCTCCTCCGCTTTCTCCGCCTACCCCCAAGATGGCCCCAGCAGCAGCGCCACCACCAGGAGCACCACGAGCAGCAGCGCCAGCAGTAGCACCAGCACCAGCACCAGCAACAGCATCAACGGCACGAGCATCGGAAACAACATCAACAGCAGCACCGGTAGCAGCACCAGCAAGTGAGCAATGTCAAACCGCACGCGAGCTCAAGATACAAACCAGTGCAAGT